TCTATCTCTCTCTCTCATCTATCTCTCTCTCCCATCTATCTATCTCTCTCTCTCATGTCTCTCTCTCTCATCTATCTCTCTCTCTCATCTATCTCTCTCTCTCATCTATCTCTCTCTCTCATCTATCTCTCTCTCTCATCTATCTCTCTCTCTCATCTATCTCTCTCTCTCATCTATCTCTCTCTCTTTCATCTCTCTCTCTCTCATCTCTCTCTCATCTATCTCTCTCTCTCATCTCTCTCTCTCTCATCTCTCTCTCCCTCTCTCTCTCATCTCTCTCTCTCTCTCATCTCTCTCTCTCATCTCTCTCTCTCATCTCTCTCTCATCTATCTCTCTCTCTCATCTATCTCTCTCTCCCATCTATCTCTCTCTCTTTCATCTCTCTCTCTCTCATCTCTCTCTCTCTCTCTCATCTATCTCTCTCTCTCATCTATCTCTCTCTCTCATCTCTCTCTCTCTCTCATCTCTCTCATCTATCTCTCTCTCTCTCATCTATCTCTCTCTCTCATCTATCTCTCTCTCTCATCTCTCTCTCTGATTGTAAGGGAATTTAATTAAATAGGCCAACAATGCAAAAACGAAGCTGGGATAAGATTAATTTGCGACATAGTCCTGTGTATGTAAGTGTGCTGTAGACACAAACATACAAATAGAGTGACTTCCGACCTTTTTGCTTCAATGTTCATTGTAAAAGGGAACAACGAGCAACATAAGAATTGTAATATCACATATTACCACTTCCAGGGACGGGCCAAGCTGTCCCGGAAAAGTGGCCATTACATAGTTGGGTCAGTGACTTCCCTGTCCACGGGGTGACAACGCTGCTGTGTGATTTCACTGCCCAACAAACAGTATTTTTACCGTCACAGGAAGTGAGGAAAAATAACAAATCAATTGGCAGGATCAGTAGGTCATAAAACCATGCTACAGGAGGAACTTAGAAAATGTTTCATCAATTATTTTCTCCCTTGTGTTCCGCTTTAAGCAATAATGAGGGGAGCACAGAGGAGGTTCTCAATGCTTTGAGTCACTCACTTGAGGCCAGGGGCGGACTGGGCCGGGGGGCAGGGTGGCAATTGCCCCCCGGGCCTCTCTGTCACATTGGTCACATTTTTCTGCCTTGAAGAAGGGACCCCGCGCGGCCCCCGAAACGTCGGCTTTGTTGATTATCGTGACACAATTGTCCATTAAAAAGGACATATTTATTTAAATCATTTGAGTGCTGGCGACCTGTCTTTTCATTCAGCATTTGCAAAAGGAGATTTCAGCAATGACAGCCCGCTGTATTACTCTGATGACAAGTCTACTTGAATAGCGATAATAACTCCTCCTCCTGCCGGCAGGTGTGTGTTCAGCAGCAGAAAAATGACAATCTTCATAGCCGGGACTGAGCTGTCTGTGTAGAACTCCCGGCTTACACCGGAGATAGACAATGAGGTGAATCGAGTGGAGACTCCAGGCAGTTTAAAGCCACGAAATACTTCTATAATCCCAGTATATGTTTGTGGTATACTGCTTGGTAATCAGCGGTCACCAGGGGTCCCTTCCTCCTGTCCTGGGCCCCCTCCAAGTGGCGGAACTCCAGGGCCCGGCCGCGACCTCTGCGACCCTGGTAGTTCCGCCACTGCGTTCAGCCAAAAAGTGATATTTCATGGTGGAGTGAGTGAGTCTTAAGCTGCCCATACACCTTACAACCATCGCACGACTTTCGTTGTGAGATGGTTGTAAGGTATTTAAAATTCCGTACGATCTGCCTATCTTGGACAGGCAGATCGTACTTGCGCTCATCGAAAGCCCACCTCGGTGAGGGGCGGGCTTCCGATGATTCCAATGCTGAGAGGTGTAGTGTGCGCTTGCGCACACCGGCCCGTTCGGCATTTGTCTTCCGAGAACGCCAGTAACCCGCCGACAATCGTACAATTTTCGGCGGGTTTTCGAGCGTGCTCGGAAGACAAAAGACGTGCGACCGTACAGTAGAACCGGTCGCACGCCTTCCATACACCTGCCGATTATCGTATGATCGCGGGGTCACCCACAACTATCGTACGATAATCGGCAGGTGTATGGGCACCTTTAAAAAGTCTTAGATTCACCAGTGAACCTAATCCCTTCCATGATTCCCTAATCTGTTGGTGTTCATCTGGGAGTTTTGAGTGTTCACACTCAGCTTTCTGTGTTCTGCTTCTTCCTGTTACATTCTCCATGATATAAAGGAAGTAAAAACTAACAGTGATGTTGGGAACTCCTCATAAGGGCATTTATTTCATTAATCCTTACTTGGTCATGATACTTCTCTCTCAATGCAAGTCTATGGGCCGGGGGTGCCGGACCATAGACATTTTAGATGGTTGAGGTTTAATTTCAGGAACTATTAATTGGGGGGGGGGGTTCAGTGATATACAGTTAGACACTGTAAGGGGAGTTTCCAAGTTTACATAGGTAATATAATAATAGTTGTTTCATTCTTCTTTGAAGTCAAGATTAAAGAATTTGGAATTTCCCATCAATATGCAGTTAGCTCTAGTACTGATAACCTTTACTATGCCCATTGGAGACCAAGGGATTTTAATACCTATTTCTGTTTTCCAGAGTGAGCGACAATCCAGATAAACATCATGGATCTAGAACAAGATGACTTTGACCGCAGCTATCTTCTTCAGGAAGACGTCCATAAGGAGGAGGACATCAATCAGGAAGAGAACATGCAGGAAGGTTTGAATAAAAGCAAGCCAAAGAAAGAGAATGTCGAGGACATCGCTCATGAAAATGAGAATGTCAATCAGGAGCAAAACATCCAGCAAGATGAAGAGAACATCAGTGATGAGAATGGCATTACGCAAGAGGAGAAGCATATGAATCAGGAAATCGCTGATCTAGAGCAGGAGATCATTAGACAAATGGAGCGCACAGATAAAGAGGAGGCCATCAAACAAGAAGATGAGCTCCAAAATAGGGAGGAGGAGATCATGAATCAGGAAAAGGAGGTCAGCAATCCAGAGGAGGTGATCATTAATCAAGAAGAGGAGGTTAACAATAAGGATGAGGAGAATATCAATCAAGAAGAGGAGCTCAACAATAACAAGAAGGAGATCTTTAATCAAGAAAAAGAGATCAACAGTAAGGAGAAGGAAATCATTAATGAAGAAGAGGAGTTCCACGACAAGGAGGAGAAGATCAACAATCAAGACAACACGGTCAACAATAAAGAGGGGATCATCAATCGAGAAGTCAACAATAAAAAGGAGGAGATTATAAATCAAGAAAACATTGATCATGAAAACACCGACCTAGAGCAGGAGATCATTAGACAAATGGAGCACACCAATAAAGAGGAAGAGGCCATCAAACAAGAAGATGAGCTCCAAAATATTGAGGAGGAGATCATTAATCAAGAAGAGGAGTTTAACAATAAAGATGAGGAGATTATCAATCAAGAAGAGGAGGTCAACAATAAGGAGAAGGAAATCCTCAAACAAGAAGATGAGCTCCAAAATAGTGAGAAGGAGATCATGAATCAGGAAAAGGAGGTCAACAATCCAGAGGAAATTACTAATAAAAAAGAAGAGGTTGATGATAATGATAAGGACATTATCAATCAAAAAGAGGAGGATGACAATAATGATGAGGACATTATCAAAGAAGAAGAAGAGCTCAACAATAAAGAGAAAGATATTTTTATTCAAGAAAAAGAGGTCAACAATAAGGAGAAGGAAATCCTCAAACAAGAACATGAGCTCCAAAATAGTGAGGAGGAGATTGTGAATCAGGAAAAGGAGGTCAACACTCCCAAGGAGGAGATCATTAATCAAAAAGTGGAAGTTGATTATAATGGTAAGGAGAATATAAATGAAGAAGAAGAAGAGCTCAGCAATAAAGAGAAAGAAATCTTTAATCAAGAAAAAGAGGTCAACAATAAGGAGAAGGAAATCATCAATCAAGAAGAGGAGGTCAACAACAAAGAGGAGACATTCTGCAATGAAGGAAACAGGGTCGACAATGAAGAAGAGATCATCAATCAAGAAAAAATAGTCAACAATAAAAAGGAGGAGATTATAAATCAGGAAAAGGAGGTCAATAATAAAGAGGAGGTGAACATCTATCAAGAAAAAGAGGGCAATAATAAAGAGAAGGATAGTATCAATCAAGAAGAGGAGCTCAACAATAAAGAGGAGGAGATTATCAATAAGGAGGAGGAAAATGTCAATCTAGAGGAAAAGATAATCACTCATGAAGAGAAGGAAATCCCTGAACAGAATATCAGTATACAAGATGAAAGAATAAGTCAAGAGATGGAGAACATCACCAAAAACAATGAAGAGGTTGAGTTTAATGAAGGAAATGCAAATCAAGAGCCAGAAGACCTCAATCAAGAGAACATTAGTGAAGAAGAGAAGCTCATTCATAAGCAGGAGATAGTTGATCTTGAGGAGGAGATAATCAGTAATGGGGAAAAGGAAATCAGTCAAGAGGAGGAGAATATCAATGATAAAGAGACAATCATCTGTGATAAAGAGAAGGATATTGATGACAATAATGCAGAGCCACCAAACCTCAATCAAGAGAAGATTGATGAAGAGCAAGAGAAGATTAATCATGAGCAGGAGATAATTAATTATGAGCTGGAGAAAGAAACTAGTCAACAGAACATTAATCAGGAGGAGGAGAACATCATTCAAGAAGAGAACATCAGTCATGAGGAGGAACTAGCCAATCATAAGGAAGACAGCATTAATGAACCAAATACTAGCCAAGAAGATGAAAACACAATTCAGCCAGAGGAAAACATCAGTCAAGAAGAAGACATAATCATTAATCAACCGGACAATACAAATCAAAAAAAGGAGAATGTTCTTCAAGAAGAGAACTTTAAAGATGAAGTTGATAATATCAATAAAGAGGATAAGAACTTCAATCAAGAAGATGAGAGCACCAGAATACAGAAGGAAAATGCCAATGAAGACACCAATCCAGAGGAAATCACTCCTCAAGAGAAAGAGGATCACACTCAGGACAAGGAGAACATCAATGAAGAGAAAAGAACCAATCAAGAAAAGAACAGCAGCCCAGAAATGGAGAACATCAATGAGGAAGAAAATTCCAGACAAGAGACGGAGAACATTAGTAAAGAACCCCTCGATCCAGAGGAGGAAGACATCGTCAAAGACAAGGTGGAGCAAATCAGTGAAAGCAAAGTGGATAAACCAGAAGATGAAATAACAGATAACATGCACGATGCAGCTATTCCACAACTGGAATCTACCTCCGAAGACTTAATCAACCATCGTCAGAAGACAATGTTCAACATTTTACAATCATTGGACCTAGAGGATTATTTCTGGGGCCGTAAGTACTTTACAATGCACTATTTTAATGATTTTTTTCTATGCTTTATAACCTTGGTTCTCACCTGGTGGGTTGTGACCCAAAAGTGGGTCGCGACCTCGTTTTCAGTGGGTCGCCGCGTGCCTTCCACTTTTCTATGTGAGAGGCTCCTCAGCCTCCCCCTAGCGTAGCAATATCAGTTCTTGCGCTGAGCAGCCATTCAGAATATGCTGCCCGGCGTCCATAGTAACAGGCGGCGGGAGGGGAGGGGAGGTGAGTCACAGGAGGAGGCGTGTGTGTGTCACAAGCCCCGCCCCTTGCAGTGCACACATAGAAGCTCCCTGGCTGGGTCGAGCGCCGCGCGTGGGGGAGGGTGGGGGGAATTGGGTTTGGCGGGTAGTAGTAGTTGAGCAGTTGTATTAAATAGTAGAATAGTAGTTGTATACATCAGGTAAGTCCAGCACGCTACTGCAACATTAGAGACCGATGGGGGGGGAGCGGGGGCCAGTGTCATCCGCTCCCGCACCCCCCCCGGCCCCCGTTTTGGGAGGGGGGCCCAAGATAAAATCTTGCACCAGGGCCCTTTGGTTAATAGTTCCGCCACTGGGTAGTAGTATAAGCCAGGCCGGGAACACAGAGATCAGCGTTGTCAGGAACAAGCCAGGAGCAGGAACCAGAGGTGAACGTCATACACGGAATCAGGATACACAGAGTAGCAGGAATGCACTAGCAGGTGGAAACATGCAAGCGCAAGGTCAGACTAGACTGCATAGCTTAAATAGTGAGTGGGATGACATCATCACTCAGAGACAGGAAACTCCTATCTGGTTTTCTCAGATGATGATCTCCTGTCTGGCCATAAGAGGGAGCCTGGGAGTAGTGAGCAACGTTACACAGTCTGCTCAGACAAAGGAGGAATCACAGGTGGGTGGAATGGCCGCCAAGCCAGAATGCTGCAAACCAAATAAGTCAGGTTGGAACCCTGACATGTATAAGCCTTTTTCTTTGCCTACGAGGCAAAGGATACCAATAAGTGTTCCTTGGGCCAGTCACTGATAAACAGCCGGCAACACAATAACAGTTCAAGAAGAGATGTTTTGATAATTGAAACAAGGATTTCCACAGACATAGGAAGCTAGTGTACATTTCTTTAAAATAATGTAAATATGACATAGCTTTACCTCACCTGAAATCAAGTAAATGTGGATATAATGTGGACTGCTGACTGATACAATACATATTTTTATCTTTCACAGCTAAAATTAAACAGTTTAATGACAAACTGAGGGAATTAAACCTGGTAAAGTTCATAACTTCAAAGCTTAGTCTTATGGAGGTTCTGAAGATTGGGCAAGAAGATCTAAAGAAGAACATCCCTCAGAGGCCTGAGGACGTACCCTGGCATTTCTTACAGAACCTCATGTCCCTCAATAGCACTGCAAGAAACACACGGCTTGTTCAGTCACTGGATAAGAAAACAAACACAATACCGGATGAAGAAATTGACTTTATGGACGATTTAGACATGTCAACTTCCATCAATCCTCTGGACGTTCTGTGCCTTCTCCTTAATTGTTCAGATAGTTTTCTGCAACAAGAGATTGTGACGAAAATGTCCATGTGCCAGTTTGCCCTCCCTCTTCTGCTTCCTGCTGGGCAAGGTTTGGATATAACTTACATGCTCTGGGCAATGAGGGATATAGTGAAGAGATGGAGACCCCAATCATTAGCAAATGTTAAAGGATGCATTGAAAACAACTTGGTCAACATACCCATGCCCGTTTTCTCCTTTGCTAGACTGGGAAAGTGTAGTCTTTCAAAATCCAGAATTCTAAATTATATCCTAAGTCCAGTCCAACAACACTATGACTTCTATGTCCATCAGAACATGGAAGGGGCAAACATTGTAAGGGAAGTCTCTGATGGACTGGTGGAAATTTCTTGGTGCTTTCCTGGAGGAAATGAAATCTTAGACCTGTTTCCAGACCCTATCGCTGTGACCAATCTCAGAGGTGATCTGGAGTCTAACTGGGGTCAATTCAACTTCCTAACGAAAGTATCCTCAGCTGTGTTCATATTTATTGAGAGTATGGATGATCAAAATTACAGTGTTCTGTCCAACATTGAAGAATCAAACACAAACTACTTCATCGTCCTTGCTCCCTCCTCTAGATGTATCAGTGTAGAGACCCAGAACCACATTAAGATGTTATATCCCATCTTGAAAATCAACAGAAAAAATGTTCTGGTGAAGAACAACTCAATTAATGACGCAGAATTGGTGAAGAAAATGCAGCTAATTATCACAGATGTAATTAAATCTTCGCCCTATTACATCACCCTGGAGGAGATGTCTCACATCGCCGCGGATCTAGGCATACGCGTTGATGAGGGTTCAGAAGAACATCAGAAAACAAGAACGCTTGCATTGGAAATTACCAAGAGCGTCAAGGATGTTGTGCAGTATAAGAATGAAACAATGAGACTGCAAGGAGAATATTGGAAACAGCTGGCCAAAATTGAAAAGGAAATGTGCCGAATGAAAGGACTGGGGAGTGAGAATGCCGAGGATTACAGAGCAAAGCTTGTTAAGAAATGTTGCGCGCTTAGGAGGCAGCAAAGTGAGTGCAGTATGCCCGACGGAATATTCACATTCATAGCCGCACTCCAAAACCTACCGCGTATTGAGAAACATTACTTTTTGAAGTGGATGAAGCTCTACCTCGATTCAGTCACTAGAAACCATCTTTCAGCACTCCAAGTAGAGTACAAGGAGCAGTACTATAAAGTCAACACTAATGTGGAGAGACTGAAACAACTCGATCAAATCATTCTTAACAGCTCACTGGGAGTAGAACATTTCATCAGAGAAGTTGGCCAGTTTTACGAAGCGGAACATTTCCTGGCCAAGGACTGTACAAGTGATCAAAAGCTTTACAAACTACCAGGTATTGCTGCTGATCTTTTGTTGGATGGGTTCCCATTGGAGCTAATTGACGGAGATGCCTCCAACATACCAATGCAGTGGATAACTGATGTACTGACTGAGTTGGACACCAAGACGGGAGGAGAATGTAGAATGAAAGTGATAACCGTGCTGGGAGTGCAGAGTACGGGGAAGTCCACCCTTCTGAACACCATGTTTGGTCTGCAGTTCCCGGTGGCCAGTGGACGATGTACACGAGGAGCCTTCATGACTCTTCTAAGAGTGAAAAACAATTTAATAGATGAGCTTGGATGTGAGTTCATTCTGGTCATTGACACCGAGGGTCTGAAAGCTCCTGAGCTGGCTTCTGTTGAGGACAGTTACGAGCATGACAATGAGTTAGCAACCTTTGTGGTGGGGTTGAGCGACATCACCATAATTAACATGGCCATGGAAAATACGGCAGAAATTAAAGATATCTTGCAGATCGTGGTCCATGCATTTCTGAGGATGAAAGAACTAGGTAAGAAGCCCAACTGCCAGTTTGTTCACCAAAATGTCAGCGATGTGTCTGCTTATGACAAGAACATGAGGGACAGGAAGAAACTTCTGGAACAGTTAGATGAAATGACAAAAGTGGCTTCCAGGATGGAAGAAAAAAGCAACATGACCAAGTTTTCAGATGTCATGGACTATGATCTTGAGAGGCACAGCTGGTACATTCCAGGACTTTGGCACGGAGTTCCACCAATGGCCTCAGTAAATACAGGGTACAGCGAAAATATCTTTGAACTAAAGAAGCAGATATTTGAAACTATGAAAAAGCAGCTGGAATCCAGAACACCTCAGAGTATATCTGATTTCATCAAATGGATAAAGAGTTTGTGGAATGCTGTGAAGTATGAGAAATTCATCTTTAGCTTCAGAAACAGCCTGGTAGCCGAGGCCTACAACCAACTCTCAATCAAATACTCAGAACTGGAGTGGAATTTCCGTAAGAGAATGCACAAATGGATTATTGAGGCTGAAAATGAGATCTTAAATCACCCGTCTTCGGAACTTGAATCTGAAATCTGGGGTGGCATAAAAGAGGACATGTATCAAGTGTTACAAGAAGAAGAGAGAGTCATGCTGGAAGCTCTCGAACAATACTTTGAGAGCGGGAACAAATACGTGCACCTTGTAGAGCGATACAAGGAAGATTTCTTTAGGAGTGCAACAATACTTAGGAATGAAGTTGAAGACAATTTCACTGTCAAATGCGAGGAAGCTATCCGCATACAGAAAGGAAAACACGAGATACAGTTTGTTCAGAACAGCTATCTGAGGACTATCGAAGAGAAAGCCACCAGCCTCTTGGACAACTGCAAGAATGTAAAACATCAGCTTAGTGATAAGGAACTAAAATCTGAGTTCGAGGTTATGTGGAATAAAACGTTATCCGGGTTACAATTTAGCAGTTTAAAAAAGCACAACGTCAGCCAAGAGATGATTGACCAACTCAGGAAAGACATGAGGCACAAAGCAGGTTACCTTAACGAAAAGCTGAATGAAGTAAAAAGTCTAGATGATTACGGGCAAAATGGGCTGGACTTGGATAAGAAGTACACTCAGGACAGTTGGTACGAAAACATGCCGGAAGTAAATAACGCGGAATACTGGGATAAAGTGAACAGTCTTGTGACTTCCTTAAAGGAGCAGTGCAATCGCCATGTAACAGAGCAAGTCAACACGATGAAAGATTACGATCAGACGTACTGCCAAGAACTTCTCAATTTCATTAACGAAAGACTCAATGAGGAGGATGTCAGGAGTCTTCATCTCACGCCGTTGTTCGAGCTGGATCTGAAGCTTCTCCTGCTGGGTCAAACAGCTCCAATCTTCCAGAAGAAACACAATATTTTTTTCCAGGAGAATAACATGAAGTCCTACCTGGATGAAATAAAACCTCAGTACTTCTCCACATTCAAGAACGTCTACCAAGAGAAGGACGAGTCTAAAATCAGAGCCCAGAAATTCTGCGAAGTGTGCCTGAAGCCAGCTCTTTCGGATTATGTGTACAAAAATTTGGGCGGCGAAATCGTGAACGACATACTCACCAGTGGAGATTCCATAAGGTACAGCAGTAGAACCTTCTTCCAGTACACTTTGCTCAAAGAGCTTTTAGAAAACCACAATTCCACTCTCTACATAAAATACAACAACCATTATGAGACCTTTGTGAAAGGCTGGATTGTCAAATTTATCACCAACCGATACAAGGAGTCCACCTCCCTGGAGTCGTTAAAAACAATTATCCTTGCGTGCATCTCAAGGAAGGTGAGACAAACCCTCAAAGATCCGAGAGTACGGGAAACCTCAAGTGTTTCCCAATGTTTAAAAACATTTTGCTTGATATTAAAGAAAGATTTGGTCATCCTGCAGAATGAGATGAAGGTGATTGCGTTTCAGAACAACGCAAGCCCTGTCCAGTTTTCAGCTGACATTGTGGAGTTCCTGGAAGGTGTCGAGAAAGAAATCATCACTGAAATCAAACATTTTACCATTGAATACGTGCTGAACAAGGCAACCCTGAAACCACAGGACGAGTTGTTCAAGAAGGTCTTTGGATGCGGAAAGCAGTGCCCATTCTGCAAGGCCCCATGCGAGGCCGGCGCAGCTAACCACAAGGAGCACTTCGCCTCGGTCCATCGGCCTCAAGGTTTAGGAACGTACAGATGTACGGAATCAAAGGAGCTCTCGTGTTCTATATGTACCACCGACGTGGTGGGAAACACAACGTTCCTGAATTCAGACACCGAGTGGAAGGCGCATCTTTACAAAGAATACCGCAAAATTTACCCTGACTGGACAATACAGCCCGATGTCACCATTGGAGCTTCCAGTTACTGGAAATATATCTTCAAGGAGTTTAATAAACAGTTTTCAGATTACTACAATGCTAAGCCGGCTACCCTACCAGAGGACTGGCATCAAATCACCAAGGAGCAGGCTCTTCAGAATCTAAAGGAGTCTTTTAACATGAACTAAATTGCAACATATTATCTACATTCCAGTCAAAGACAGAACAAATAAATGGCTAACGAGGACAGGAGCTACCAGCCCGGGGCCGTTGTGTTTCCTCCTGGCAATTCTTCAGTGCACAGGTCAACCTGGTGTGTAAGGCCTTGTGGTCGCTAGTAGGCACATGCTCTTTGAACACCTAATCCAAACCTATACTTGTGCAGAGAAATATTCTAACCCCTTTCCATCGGTCTCCCTGAAGACTAATTATGGACATCTGCCATTCAAAGAGAAGCAATTCACAACCTGCTGATCCTCAACCACACTCAGCAATGCAAGAATGGTGAAAGTGGCAACAGTCTGCAGTCCCCACTCTGGAAAATGACTGTGAAGGTTCTCATTCAACCAGGTCACGGTATATCTGTAAAAAATAAGTCATGTCCGTTGAACTTGCTGTATTCTTCTTGAAGACATTTCACTGGTCATCCGACCAGCTTTCTCCATTCAGAATGACTTGTACAAAAAATTATCTGGGAATAAATATGGTGAATGTTGCTCCTTCATAAAGTGTAGGGGGTGCCATGACCCAGTTGGTCATATCGGCAGTCAATTCCTGTAAGTAGAGTCCGTATGAAATACTCAATAAAAGGAAATGTTTGGTTACTTAAGGTGCTCGTTATTCCACAAGTCCTCCAACCTATTGAATGATTCCATTTGTTTCTGTCAGGTCTCTAAATGAATCAAAATGGCAGTTCCCTGACATAGAAGAGGTCGTATACACTCATCTTGGTGGCCTGTCTCTCCCACCTTCCCTGTGTCGTAGTCTTTATTAGTTGCCAATTCAGGTAATTTTGAAAGCCTTTGTCCCCCTTGGTGTGCCGCGGTTCTATTCTCCATCCCCCATGTCGCAGTGATGTAGGGACCAGAGGAAGTTAACATGGCACACCGCGGGGTAAACAGGCATCCAGAAGTGTCAACTGCAGAAAAGACTCACGGGTCACAGGGGAGGCAAATAGAATACCTCTTCTATGGCAGGAGACACGGGTCACCAAGAGCCATGTATATTACTTCTTCTATGGCAGGAGACACGGGGCACCAGAGAGCCATGTATATTACTTCTTCTATGGCAGGAGACACGGGGCACCAGAGAGCCATGTATATTACTTCTTCTATGGCAGGAGACACGGGGCACCAGAGAGCCATGTATATTACTTCTTCTATGGCAGGAGACACGGGGCACCAGAGAGCCATGTATATTACTTCTTCTATGGCAGGAGACACGGGGCACCAGAGAGCCATGTATATTACTTCTTCTATGGCAGGAGACACGGGGCACCAGAGAGCCATGTATATTACTTCTTCTATGGCAGGAGACACGGGGCACCAGAGAGCCATGTATATTACTTCTTCTATGGCAGGAGACACGGGGCACCAGAGAGCCATGTATATTACTTCTTCTATGGCAGGAGACACGGGGCACCAGAGAGCCATGTATATTACTTCTTCTATGGCAGGAGACACGGGGCACCAGAGAGCCATGTATATTACTTCTTCTATGGCAGGAGACACGGGGCACCAGAGAGCCATGTATATTACTTCTTCTATGGCAGGAGACACGGGGCACCAGAGAGCCATGTATATTACTTCTTCTATGGCAGGAGACACGGGGCACCAGAGAGCCATGTATATTACTTCTTCTATGGCAGGAGACACGGGGCACCAGAGAGCCATGTATATTACTTCTTCTATGGCAGGAGACACGGGGCACCAGAGAGCCATGTATATTACTTCTTCTATGGCAGGAGACACGGGGCACCAGAGAGCCATGTATATTACTTCTTCTATGGCAGGAGACACGGGGCACCAGAGAGCCATGTATATTACTTCTTCTATGGCAGGAGACACGGGGCACCAGAGAGCCATGTATATTACTTCTTCTATGGCAGGAGACACGGGGCACCAGAGAGCCATGTATATTACTTCTTCTATGGCAGGAGACACGGGGCACCAGAGAGCCATGTATATTACTTCTTCTATGGCAGGAGACACGGGGCACCAGAGAGCCATGTATATTACTTCTTCTATGGCAGGAGACACGGGGCACCAGAGAGCCATGTATATTACTTCTTCTATGGCAGGAGACACGGGGCACCAGAGAGCCATGTATATTACTTCTTCTATGGCAGGAGACACGGGGCACCAGAGAGCCATGTATATTACTTCTTCTATGGCAGGAGACACGGGGCACCAGAGAGCCATGTATATTACTTCTTCTATGGCAGGAGACACGGGGCACCAGAGAGCCATGTATATTACTTCTTCTATGGCAGGAGACACGGGGCACCAGAGAGCCATGTATATTACTTCTTCTATGGCAGGAGACACGGGGCACCAGAGAGCCATGTATATTACTTCTTCTATGGCAGGAGACACGGGGCACCAGAGAGCCATGTATATTACTTCTTCTATGGCAGGAGACACGGGGCACCAGAGAGCCATGTATATTACTTCTTCTATGGCAGGAGACACGGGGCACCAGAGAGCCATGTATATTACTTCTTCTATGGCAGGAGACACGGGGCACCAGAGAGCCATGTATATTACTTCTTCTATGGCAGGAGACACGGGGCACCAGAGAGCCATGTATATTACTTCTTCTATGGCAGGAGACACGGGGCACCAGAGAGCCATGTATATTACTTCTTCTATGGCAGGAGACACGGGTCACCAGAGAGTCATGTATATTACTTCTTCTATGGCAGTGGGTATTGGTCATCAGAGGCCCGTACATTACCTCTGCTATGGCAGGGGACACACATCATTGGAGAGGAGAATATATTACCTCATCTATGGCGGAAGACACGGGTCGCTGAAGAGGAACATTCATATTCCCTCTTCTATGACTCTTATCACTTTAGAACCTTGGTTCTCAACTGGTGGGTCGTGACCCCATGTTCAGAGGATCGTCGCATGCCTTCCGCTTTTCTAGGTCAGAGGCTCTTCTGCCTCCCCCTAGCACAGCACTGTCAGCTCTTGTGCCAAGCAGCCATTCAAAATATGCTGCCCGGCATGCTGTATTCATTCGAATGGTACCCCAAACACACTTCCCACAGACACTGTTGGTACGCCCGCACCGGAGCGCGATACCCTAATGTGGTGTGTTCCATTGCAGCGCAGACTTGGGTCGCGACTTAATGGCCAAGGATAGATGTGGGTCCTGAGGTTACACAGGTTGAGAACCACTGGTTTAGAAGATGGATAGGATACCATTACATTCCTGAACTACATTTAAATACTAAAGCTCCCGCCCTCTCACACTTGGTCCACCAATATGTATGGAGTAACACCGTGTTACCAGCATCAGGTATGTAGTGTGCAGACAAACTCACCTTAGATAAAGACACATATGAAGCACATCCCATTCTCCACCTCGGAGTCAACTATTCCCCACAAACTCTTTGATACTTCAGTCTCATAGACACCGCAGTAACACGCGTGTGCTGTATGTAAAGAATCGAGTTGAAGCAACCGGGAGACCCAGAAGATAAGGTCTGCAGCACTGTAGATAGTACTCGTACTGGGCTGGGAGTAACATTTACATTGCTGCAGATTTTATGTATTTAGATACTTCTCATACAGCACACGTGTGTCATTGTGCATCTATAACACGGTAGTATTGATGTGTTTGGGGGAAATAGTTGATGCTCGCTACATGTAGTTGGATCTGAGGTGGGGAGCGTGAATATGTCTTCCAGACTTGGGTGTGTGTGTAGGTGGGAGGATGGAGGCTTTCACGTGTCTTGGACTTGCATTTGAGACGCTTCCGAGATCGTTCAGATGTCCTTCACCTCTTAACCTGCTTTCCTGACCAACATTCCTTCTCCTCCTGACCAACATTCCTTCTCCTCCTGACCAACATTCCTTCTCTTGACCTTAATTGCTCCTCCTCCTGACCTTCATTTGTCCTACTCCTGGACTTCAATCCTCCTCATCCTGACCCTTATTCTTCCCCCTCCTGACTGCCAATCCTCCTACCTACCCTGACCTTCAATCCTCCTCCTTTCTCTGACCTCCCTCGCTCCTCCTGACCTCCCTCCCCCGCTCCTCCTGCCCTCCCTCCCCCCCCCCGCCCCCCCCC